TCTTGTGAGAGGAAGTTGAGAAGCACAATTACCTGCCCAGGGTCACACAGATGTTAAGTGGTAGGGCTGCAACATGAACTCAGGCCTGTTAGACCCTAAGATCCAGGCTCATTATACTGTGCCCCTCCCTGTGTGTCTCTTTACTATTTGCCCATCAGTGGTAAGGTTGTAGGACCTGCTGGGGGCTGGGGACATCATTTTCAGTCCTACTGAAGAGAAGACTGATTCAGGAAAATGGGCAACAGCCTGGGGGCTTCAGAGGGGCCCGGGAAGGAGCAGGCAAGTGCCCTTGGTGGGGGTGCTAAGGACAGGAGATGTCAGGAACATGGGAGGAGCAGGGTGTCCAGAGGTTGGAAGGAGTCCAGGTTGTCCTAGGGTGCACTCAAAGAGCACCCAGAGCCCCTGAGCAAAGCCCCAGGCTCTGCTGACTGCTCTTTCTCTTGGTGTGTGTTTCTGGCTTTGCTGGTCGCTGCTCCCCTTCTGCATGTCTTCTTCTTGGCTGGGGCAGGGTGAGGAGGGTCTCCTGAATTCCCCTTTGTGGGCTAGAGAGGACAGGAAAGCAGGGAGGAGGAGCACCAAGAGTGAGGAGGCTGGAACTGGCCAGCAGGGAGGCCCGCCATTGGCCCAGCTCCCAGGGCCTGGGCCTGAGGAGGGAGCTGCCTGCCCCTCACCATTCCCTCCCCGCCCCCGGGGCTCCTTCGCTGCCGAGTCTGCCAGCTGGGCCCCTGCCAAGCCAAACAGCTGCCAGGGGAGAGGAAGAAGCATTTCCGAGCAGAGAGGCCCCTGTGGGTTCCAACTCGAGCCTAGAATCCCCCTTTATCACCGCCAAGTGAAAACAGGAGTCTGTGCACATGCACATAGGCATGCACGCATGGCACTAGGGAGCCCAGGGCAGAGGCCAGAGGACCTGGGATGCTGCAGGACTGGGGGGTGGGACAGGGCCGTGACTGGGAGCAGGCTTGTGAAGAGATAGAAGGATACGGGCCATTACTGTGCTAGGTGGGGTTGGGGGTTTGGGGAATTAGGTTAGGCTCACTCAAAGGTTGTGGGGGGAGCGTGTAGTGGGTTGAACAGTTTCCCTCCTAAAATTTATCCACCTGAAACCTCAGAATATGATCTTATTTGGAAATAGTGTCTTTGCAGATATAATTAAGGGAAGGATTGAGATGAGGTCATGCAGACTTAAGGTGGGCCCTAAATGCAATGAATGTCCTTATCAGGCAGAGAAGAACGTACAGAAACCCCAGGGAGAAGAGAGTAAGAGGATCCACATGAAGACGGGGGCACAGATGGGAGCCCCAGCCAGGGACTGCCTTTAGCCACTGGAGGCTGGAAGAGAAGCATTCTCCCCTGGGGCCTTCAGAGGAGCATAACTGACTGACACCTAGATTTCAGACTTGTGGCCCCCAGAACTGCAAGAGAATGAAATTCTCTTGTTTTAAGCCCTGAAGTTTATGGCAATTTGTTATGGAAGCTCTAGAAAATGAATACACAGAGGTGTATGGCACAGGGGGTGGGAGTGTCTGGGTATGCCAGGGTTTGATAAAAAAAGCCTTAGAAAACAGAATGGAAAAGGTCTATTATTTATTGTGCTACTGTTCCGTGGCCGGCACTTTTAAAGATACTTATCTCAGTCCTTACAGTGACCCTGCCAGTAAGAATTATGATTCCCATTCTACAGTGAGGCTCAGCTCCAAGTGTGTTCCACTTAGTTGGAATTCCAGGATTGGATCTTCTGTCTCCTAAGCCTACCTTCTTCACACTTTCTAGCAAGAGAAGCCTAAGCAGTTTCGAGGTCTGATGATCCATACTTCCAGGTGGAGGGGAGGTCTCCAGAGGCCTGGGAGGGGAGCATATGCCTCACTGGGGAACTGGGCAAGGGATCATTAGGCCATTGCTCTGGGGGTGCTTCTGTGACTGGAGGCCTTGGACAATCTCTACTCACCACTGTTGCTGTGTCCTCAGGGACACATCTCATGGGCCATTCAGGTCCCTGAGCCTTAGGGAGTGAAGGACCTGCCCCTACGAACTTCATTCCAGCTGCTACAACCACCAGCACTACCTCCACATACCATGTCCAGTGAGGTTGCCATTTCTACCATCCCCTCACCAGCCTCTCCGTCGGTACCACCCCACCACTTTGACCACCAGCATCACTGCTTCCATTACCACCAATGCTCCCTCCATCACCATCACGGCCACTGAAACTGCCAGGACTTCCATGTCCACGTAAGCACCTCCATAACTTCCCATCTACCCTTTCCACCCCCACTGCATTCGCCATCAATACGTGATATAATGGAGGGGATAGAAGTGGGTGAGGGATGTAGGAGATCTGCAACAGGCCAGCGGAGCAGAATCTAGCAGGGGAGGAGTCTGCCTGGGATATGCCTGGCTGACAGATGTGATCAGTAGTAGAGGATTGCCCTAAGTTCAGCCTTGTTGAGAGGGGAGGTGAGGCAGCCTGGCTGCAGTAAACACTTAGTGGGACAGGCTGTCTTCACAGGCATGGGTTCCTCGGGTGGAGGTTGTTTGAGTGACATATCCTGGCCCTGCCTGACTTGGGCTGGTCTCTGGGGGATGTGAATTTTGGCGGGTCCCTGGCTTCTGGCCGCCTGCCTGGCTGGGCCATGGCAGTGAGGTCATGAGAGTGGCTGTACTAGTAGTGCTGGGGAGTGGGGAGAGGGGTGGGGAGAGGGGAGGGCCCCACCCTGGCCCTGGCCCTGGCTCCAACAGGATGAGGGCCTCTCTCCCTAGGTTGACCCTACCAAAAATGATGAAATAAGCATTTCTTGACACTCATTCCCCCAGATTCCCCTCCCCTCTGCCTGCCCAGCTCTTCAAGGGCTCTGGGTGCTGACGGCTCTCTCTGCCATGAGCTCTGAGTTTATCTTTTCTGAGATACCTGGCTAGTCAGTTCAGCCACTTGAGGAAATACAGGGACCAGAAGGCTCTGATCTGGGAGCAGGGAGAGAGCCAGCCATCACAGAGGGAGGTCCCATTTCTCCACTCAGCTGGGCAGCCCCTCCTTCCAAATCAGGCCAAGTGTGTGTATGTGTGTGTGTGAAGGTGGGCAGATGAGGGGAAAGGGCAGCAGAATATTCCAGAAGCTCAAACCACAGCTGCTCCCCTAGCCTCTTCCCTGCAAGCCCAGCCACCTCCCCTCTAAGGATGGGATTGGCTGGCTCTGGGAACATCCTCTCTCAATCCTTCCAAAGCCCTAAACTGCCCAGGTGCCAGGCTAATCTGACCCTCTAGGATTGTACTTGAGAGCTTCTGGAAGTGGGAAACAATACTATTGTGGGATGTGTTTATCTCTGCATCAGGCGTGAGAGCCGGACAGACAGGCTGGCGACTAGCGAGGCCACTGAGTCTCAGGGACAGGGGATTGGAAGGTGGGGTCGGTGAGAACACTGGGGAGGGGCCCAGACTTTCCCCCATACCCGGGGAAGTAGGTGTGGCTGGAACTTCCCACTAGTTGCTGCAAATCATTCCTCAGGATAAGGACTTTTGCTGGGTTAGGTAAGACTTTGGCAGGATACGGAGACCTGTTGATGACAATAGTGACAGCCAGTGTTTATTGGACACTTTCTACCTATCAGGCCCTTTCCAAGCACTTTATATGTATCAACTCATTTAAAGCCCCCAAGATCACTATAAGATTAGTATGATTACTGTTATCTCCATTTTACAGTCAAGGAAATGGAAGCACAGACAGGTTAAGGCATTTGCTGAAGGTTATGCTGCTGATGAGAGGTGGGCCTAGGATTTGTGTCCTGTTCGTCTGGCTGCAGAGCTCATTCCCCCAGATACCCCTCCTCTCTGCCTCCCTGGCTCCTCAAGGGCTATTTTTCACTCCAGGGTGCAGTGGAGTCCTGGGGCTACTCCTCTGAAGTCCTGAGTCCCCACCCCAAACCTGCAGACCCCTTTTTCTTCCCCAGTGTCCCCTCTCATGTGGCAAACAGAAAAGACACGGGAGCCAGGAGCCTTGGGGTCTTCTGCCTCTAGTGTGCTCTGGGGTTCGGGTAAATCCTTGCTCTCTGGACTCAGTTTCCTCACATGCCCTGTATAGGCATTGGGCAGAGCCCGATGTTCCCTGAAGGCCCTCCCTGGTGCCATCTGGTGTTGAGCTGTCCCCGCTTGGAACTGCTCCCATTTGTTGTGCCTCCCTGGGATCAGCTGGGCTCCTGGTAATGCTGGGAGTGGGGAAGGAAATGGTCCAAAAGATCCCTGTGTGTCTGGACAGCGCTTGTGTGGCCCTGTGACAGCAGCTTTCTAAATTCTGCCCTGTGAGGAGGAGCAGCAGTGTCAGAGATCAGAGACAATAGCCAAATTGTGCTTGACCACCTGCAGACCGTCTGCATATGGGGTTGGGGGTTGGTAGAGGATCTGCTGGGACCTGGGTCCCACCAACCCTGGACTCCCCGAGCCTCCCCTCAGTGTATTCCTGCTGCTCAAAGGCAGTGACAGGGGGCAGACCCTTGGGGTCATACTTTCTCTTCCAGCTCTCAGAGTACCCAGTGAGCAACACCTTAAATTATCCTCCTCATCCTACCAAGCCCTTTCTTCTTTTCCAAACCACACCCCAGACACCCTTTCTGTTTGTCTAGTAGATATTTACTAAATGCCCACTACGTGCCGGGCACCATGTCAGGTGTAGAAGACAGGGATGGGTAAAGCTTGGTTCCTGCCCTAAGGATTAATAGCCCAGTGGGGATTAACCCCAAAACAGTCCCTCACGCCTCATCCTCCATACTCTATCACTTGGGCAAACCCTCATGCCTTTGGAGGACCACCAAAGGTGGAGGACAGAAGTGTTGAGAGGGCTTCTCTAGGGTCTGGAGGTCCAGTGGGGTCTGGAGCAAGCAATGAGGGCAGGTGCTGGAGAAACATGCCCTAGGAAGGGTGCATCTGGCCCTGGGACACCTTTCTTATGATGGCTTCTCGGGCCAATGTCTGAGCAGGAGGAAGATGATGGGTGCCATTTCTTCTTGCTGCAGGGAACCTTGGCAGAAAAATAGCCCATTTGCTGAGCTTATCCTGAGACCCTTTAAGGCCAACTTGTCTGTGGTGAGTAGATGATCCCAGAACTTTAAAAGAAAGAGGGGTACAGAACCATAGAAGCTGGGATGGAGGACAGGGGAGGGCAAACTTCCATGTAGGGGAGTTAGACCCCATTAGAGAAGCTGGTAAATCTGAGGAGGTAGGTCTGGGTGGGTTAATCTCATTATGGAAAGCAACTGCAGGGACTTGTGAAATATGGAATACTCTCATTTAAAATATTAAAGTCATTCATCCACCCATTCCTTCATTTCACCAACAAGGCTTAGTGAGTGACTACTATACTCTAAGCACTGTATTATAGCTGAGGATTCAGCAGTGAAATGATAGATTTAGTTCCTGCCCACTTGGAAATTGTGTTCAAGTAGAGTGAAAGAAAATATGCTGATTACTGTATGAAAAAATTATTTCCATACAAATTTGAAAGGCATTGAGAGAAGTACAGGATGCTATGCTCTGAGAATTTATAACAGAGCAGTTGGACCTCCCTGAGTCTGTGTGATTGGGGAAGACTTCCCTGAGGAAATGGTATTTAAGCTGAGGCTTACAGGATGACAGCAGTGTGTCAGGGTTAGGTTCAGCTGTGAGTGACAAAAAAACCCTCAAATAATGGTGGCATAAACAAGATAAAAGTTTATTTCTCTCTCACTTAAATAAAGCCTAGAGCTGGGTAGTCCCGGGCTGGTAGGGCATCTCCACAACCATCAGGTACCCAAGTTCCTTCTATTTAATGATCCCAGCACCATTCTCAATTGCACAACTTACAACTCATAGTCCAGAATGGCTGCTCCACCTCCAGCCATTATGCCTACAGTCCAGTCCGTGGGAGGGAGAAAAGAGGAGAGAAAAAAACATGTATCTTTTAAAGATACATCTTGGGGGGGTAGCACACACCATTTCTACAACATAGCACTGTCCAGTTATACATTTAGCTGGAGGCTGGGGAAACCAGAAGCCTAGATACAGATCAGCAGTTCCTTTCCTAAAGAAAAGGAGACATATAGAAGTCTATCCGACAAAGAATTAGCTAGGTGAGGATGGGGGTGATAGAGACTACAGTGTCAGAGACAGACTGGCATGTGTGAAGGCTGGTAGAAGGCATTGAGAATGACTCGATGCTTCCCAAGTCCTGGTATGATTGGCTGAGTGACTTGTGGTTGCATTTGCTGAATTAAGGGGTCCCAAGAAGAAGCAAGTTTGGTGATCAGGATACTTCGGTGTTGGGCCCATTGAGTTGAAGGTCCTGCGAGCCATCCATGTAGAGAGGCTCATGGATATATGGGTCTGGACCCAGCAGAGAGATCTACATTGGGAATTGTAAGTATATTAGTAGCAACTGCAGCCGTAATGGGAGTGAAAGAGAAGACCCAGGGAGCAGTATAGAGGGAGAAGAGAAGATGCCTGGGGCACAACCCTGAGAACCCTGGGAAGATGTGCACCCCCCTGTGGCCTGTTGGTCTCTGGTTTCCTTTGGAGCATTGTCTCTCTGACACCTCTTAGGGTGGCAAATCCAATGATCTGTGCTCCCACTCCAGAGGTGGGAACGTTCCCTATAGACCTATCCCACCAGAGCCTTCCTCTCACCTCTGTGGGAGAGCCCAGGGGCAGCCATGGGACCTAAGTTCAGTTGACCAGATCCTCTCTTGGCACTGGGCATCTTGAGTGTCCTGACACTAGCACGGAAGAGCCTGTGGCATTCAGCCAAGTAATTTCTGTCCCATTTCCAAGTGAGGAAATCCAGCTTCTCAGTCAATTCCCTGAGCTAGTTCCTCAATATTTTTCCAATAAAAAAGAAAAACTTTTTTTGACTTATAAATGCCAGAGTCGGTTTCTGTTACTTGCAAACAAAGAGGAGCCAGCAAAGGAAAAGGAGCCGGACAGGACTTCAGAGAGGCCAGAGGAAAACTAGAAGAGTGAGGTTTCACAAAAATAAGCAAAAGAGTGTATCTTGAAGGAAGGAGTAGCCAGTGGTGTCGATTTTTATTTTAAAAAATGTCCAGTATGTCTAAATAAGCATAGGAGGAAAAGGCAAGGAGACACAGCTGTTAACAATGATCAACAATAGGGGAAGGCTTTGATTCATCTGTTTTAAAGGAAGGAACCCAACTCCTTATTTACTGAAGATAAGAACAACAAAAAAGGAATCAATTGACTTATGGTCACTGAAAAGTCCAGGGGTGGACCTGTCTTTGGCACAGAGCAAGTGTTATCATCAGGACTGGTCTCCACTCTTCTGTGCTGGCTCCTTCTCAGGCATGATCTCCTTAGGTAGAATTCCAGGCAGTTCCTCATGGATACCCAGTTAGCAACTCCACAGGGAAAACGGTTCTTCCCAGTGGCTCCAGTAAAATCCCAGGATTGGTTCTTTTGGCCGCATTTGGCTCATATGTCCTTACTGAGCTGATCATTGTGAATCAATCGAGATATCTTGGTACTTGAGTGGCCAGGCCTGAATCACATGTCCCCTCCTGGAAATAAGGGGGTAGAGTCATCTCCATCCCAGCCGCTTTTACTGAGGGCCTGGGCATTGCCCAAAATAAATCTAGAAGAAAGGATGGGTCCTGGGCATGAAAACTAAATCTGCAGCACAGTTTCCCAGGGGGAAGGACACAACTTCTGGTGAGGTTTGGCTCACAAGGCCATACTTGTGGCATGGGGCATGGCCTATTGAGGTACCCTTCCCCAGAGCAGTGGGTACTGGGCAGACACTTGGACATGCAGGTGGTCTTGGTGGTGGGCAGATGCAAGAAAAGCAAAATAACACAGTGGATAAGTGGATGGGCCCTGAAGTCAGAGAACTGGATTTGAATCTAAGCTTTGCTTGCCATTTACCAACTTTTTCTTCTGAGTCTTGGTTTCTTATCTGAAAACTGGATTAATACAGGAATAGTGCCTACCTCTTGGAATTCTCAAGAGAATTAAATGGAATAATCTATGTCAAGTGTTTAACTGTGTTCCTAAAAGGTAGTAACTATTCAGTGAATATTGCTGTTATTTTAGTGTTCTTGGGGTGTCCCATGCCCTTGACAGGACAGGAGGCACTTTTTGGGGCCCTCTTCCTCAGGCCATTAGAGTGTCCCCAGTTCAGATTCCAGAATTCACTAATGAGCTCTGTCAAAGCCCTGCCAGGTTCCAACCCCCGGGATGGGGAAATGAGTGGGAGAACTGGTGGTAAGGTTGGCCAGGGTGCTTCCCTAGAGGGCTTGGTCAAGGCAAGTGGGGGAAGATGCTGGAGTGTCAGGGATTGGGGAGAAAGACAGTGAGGAGGGTGAGGCAGGACACGAGATGAGGACTGAGGGGAGGGGTGATTTTGGGCAGAGCCAGCAGGGGTCACTGCAGATCTAAGTAACCTCAGGAGGAGGCCAGGCCACCCAAGGGCCCTCTCATGCTGCTACGTGCTGCTACCTGCCTTTGTAACTGTCATCCCTGGGGTGCAGGGCTCTGGCCGATTCTGGGCAGAGGAGCTGGGGGTTAACTCATGCAGTCGGAGGTGGCCTCGTAGGGCTGCTGCTCTGGGTGCCCTCTGGGGCCTGGGCAGTCTCTCCTCTGATGGAGGCCCTTCATGGTTGGGTATGTGCCTGGCTTTCCACCTTGCTGGACCCTGAGTTCCAGTGGTACCTGGAAAGTGTCTCTTGAGATGCTTCTCTATAAGAGCTTTGAGAGCAAATGTGTTTCCCTGCTGCAGTCCTCCTCTCAGGTCATGGTCCTGATTAGCATTCTGGAAGCTCAGAGGAGTCCTTGCAAGCAGGAAAACCTGTCAGACTTTGTCTAGCCCAGGTGTCCTATGCTTACTGGAGCCCCTTTAGCACAACACGCTTAGGGAAACACTGGTTTAAGGCATCGTCCTGGGCAGAGGGCAAGTGCCCCCGGTTGGGTGGGGTGGGGTGGATGGGAGCAGTTAATGTGGTAAGCATCCCCCAACCTTCTCTTGCAAAGTAATAGGTAACATGTTTGTTGTAGAGAAATGGGAAAACATCAAAAGCGCCAAGAAAAAAATTACCTCCCCTACCTGCTGCTCCTGTGAGCCACCTTAAGAAGCTCTGGCCACTGTGCACCCTCATCCTAGGGAAAGGGGGTGACCATGGGGTTCCCCTCAAGGCACACCCACTTCTATTGGGGGAAGCCCCATCAGAAAAGGACCTTGGTAGAGGTCATGTCATTCAACTCTCTATCTCCACTCTGCACAATTCCTGCTTCCCTTTCTAATGGACATTCCTAGGGGGAAGGAGAATGTTGGCGGTGGCTTAGAGGGTATTGAGTGGCACAGAGGGTAAGTGGGCATCCAGATTGTCAGGGTGGCAGGAGATCTTCCTATATAACTGGCTCCGAGAGGGAATGTGACTTACCAGGGTTTCACAATGGGCTAGGGGAAAGCCTGCAGAATCCTAGCTCCTGGCCAGGCACCCTCCCCACCTCTCGCCAAATTCTTGATGCCAAGAGACTGTAGAGGGGCCTGTGCCCTCAGTGCAATGCTGCGTTTTCCTCCGTGGGACTGTCAGGCTACCCAGGGTGTGTGGGTGCTGTGCACGCGCACCACAGTTGTGTAACAAGCTCAGGGGTGTGTGCACGCGCTCAGTAACCTGATGCAACAGGGAAGTTGCGGTCCCGTGAGCTGGGGTGTAGGCGATTGGCTGGGACCCAAACCACAAAGAGTATTTGGCTTGTGGCTGCAGAGGCTGGGCATGGGGGTCGCAGAGTTGTCTACGTCAGGGCTTGTCCATTCCTGGGTGGCCACATCCTGGTCCCTGTGGGCACAGGGCTCGAAATGGGGCTGCCTGGCCAGCTGTGATGAAGTGGGGGGTTGGTACAGAGAGGGGGGCCTTTCCCCATTCTCATCCTGTTTGCCAGGATGCCTGTTGTGATGGGGGTGGGGCAGGCAGGGCTTCCTCCCTGTGGTTCCATCTCTTCCTGGTTGTAAAACCACCCCCCACCCCCAACAATCCTGGTCTTTCCTGCACACTTTTAATCCTCATAAAAAGAGCAACCGCCCTGCAGCCAGACTGGATTCT